ATCTAATTGTTTCGCAAAATGTTTGATGTATATTGAATAATATATACCATAAACTCCACTCCGCTATTGTATGTCATATTTATTATGCTTTTTTACCACTAAATCTACGTAATTTCTTCTTATCTCTGGTGATGCCCGATAAAATCAAGTAGGAAAAATTAATTAGAGCAAAACCAATTTAATTATTAAACTCACGACAGCAATTTTCGGAGACTACCATATTCTATAAAGATTGGTATTATTGAAGTCCAACAACAGTTTGTACCAATGCAAAGATCTAAAAAAAGGCAAGGCTTGTTGACAGTGAGCAATATATTAATATTGTTCAACAGAACCCAAAGATAAACGCGTAATTAAAATAACCTCATGTTTTAATCATCTATAGGGAGTGTCAACTATTTCGAGATACTCGTTCACATGTCAGTATAAGTTAAGAGAATAGAAACGTTACAAAACCACTGTGGTCTCTATTTGGCAATTGTAAAATACTTATACTATAGATAAATAAAAAGAAGAATAAAGATAATCAAATCTATCGAGAGACAAGATTTTGTTTGTTTGTTTTCGAGCGAAACCACATTAGCTATCTGCTATGACCACTACAGGGAATATAACCCCGGATTTTAGCATTGTAAGTCTGTAAACCCCTCGGGAGGGGGGGACCTACAAACAAGAAGATAAAATTTAGAAAAAAAAATCAAACAAAAGTCCGAATTTGCTTAAGGCAATAAAAAATGTATTAATATAGGTAACAAAACAAAATATCTATATACTTTGTAATAAAAATAATGGAAACTGAGCATGTTTTATTTCCACATTCCTCTTAATTTGTCCATTTCGGAGTTAAAATCAGAAGTGTGTAAAAATAGCATTCCAAATCTATCTTTTGTCTTCCACAAGTCACATCCAAAGAGGTATTTCGCTTAATACCAGAACAAGTCAGTTTAGCTGGTCGATGAGACAAAAAAAAATGTTTCTAAAATGCTATTTATATATGCAATAGAATACTTTAAAAGTTTTGATTTAAACGCCGAAAGCTAGTGAAGCATTAGAAACCAATAGCCCTCAAATTTTAGACCTATTCGTTTTTAATGTTTCGTCAGATTTCAGCATCTAATACAAGTTAAAACGAATGTGTAAAAAAAATCATCTGTAGTTTTACGTGATTTTTATCACAAATTGTAGGCCTATTAGGTTCTAATGCTTCGTCAGCTTCCGGTGTTTAAACCAAAAACAAAATATTGTTTGAGGATTATAATCACTGTAATGACTTGGGTAAATCTTTTTAATGAATCATTAAAATCGAAACAATGGAGAATCTATTAGAAGCTCTCAACACTTTACTACTTGGGTAACAATGCAAAAACTAGAGACACGACCAGCAATAGAAAAAATGTTTGATGGATCAGAGGAACTGTATTAACATGAAAACTGGGCGAACTTATCAGAATAATTATTCACTGTTCTGCTTGAGCCACAATGTACAAACTTCGTTAGAGGACCAAGAACAATCTACTAACATGGGCAACAAAACACAAACATTGTCATTGTCAGTACTCCAAAGTCTAATTTGTAATTAATTAATAATTAGACTGAAGTGATCGTGTATGCTACTAACAATGACAACCATTAATATCCGATAGCTACAACTATACCGTGAGTACTTAATAACGGACAAACTTTATTATTGGAGCATGGATAATGTAATGACATAGGCAATAATGAACGAGATTTGATAAAGAATAAAAAGTAATGTGTTAACATGGAGAACAATGAACAAACTGTACTAATACTGACAACAATGTACAGATTTCATACGAGGAGCATATATAGATTTAATAGCAATAATGAACAAAATAATGAGGGGTCGTGTGCTAACGTGGTCAAAAGTGTATGGACAATGTGTTTACATGAACAACAAAGGAGAAACTTTGTTAGTGTAGAATATATCAAAACATCTAAGCAATGCATATAGAGAAGAATTTGAAATACGTTGTTGAAAGGTCAACAAACCTATGTGAGCATAATGAGGCAGAAGTATTTTCATGTTTATCAGTTTATTTTATTCTTGTTGCATATTTCATAGTGTAAGAAGTGAATTTTATTTCGTTTGGAGATTCCTTTTGGTTCATAAAGGTTACTCTGAGTGACCACTTGGCTATCGCGCTTATTTTTGTCCATTTTGTTTTGTATTTATTTAATGATATCGTAATCTGTACTGGACGTTGCCTAGTGATTAGTGGGTCCGGTGGTCTGTGGTTCGCATTCTGTTACTACATAAAAAAAAAAACACGTTCCGTACTTTGTGGTCGTGAGTGCGTTATAAGAGTGACGGTCAAATCCTTAAAGCTGACTAGTAGGCGCTGTTGACTTGCTGTCCTTCCTTCTAGTCTACCACTTCAAAATTGTGTAGCTTTGGGCAATTATCCCAAATATATATATATTTTTTCAATGTTAATTAATTATTTAGTTTTCATTTTTAGGGGTAATAATTATAATAAATATTTTTCTATATCTTTGGCATAGACAAGATCAATAGATAGAAGAATTTTAAATTATTTATAATAATAAAACATCAATAAAATCAAATAACAACCAAACAAAAAGGCCAAGAGAAACACACTAATAAATGATAATTCAAAGTGACTTTAATTAATTCAAATGAATCCTCCAGTCGAAATGATATTCACTTCTTGTACTATAAAATATTCAACAAGATCAAACAAACCGATAAACACGAAAACACTTCTTAATTGATCCAACTTCAGTTCTTATATCACATGCACAGTACTATATAGTTTTGCCTCATTATGCTCACATAGGTTTCTGGACCTTTGACCACCGTTTATCAATCCCTCTTTTATCAATTGTACTCGATAGATAATTTGAGAGGTCATGAAGTATGGGATGAAAATGTTCTTTTACTGAAAACTAGTTTTAAAACATTTAAACTGTGAATTTGGAATTATGATAAATGATAAGAGAATTTCAGTGTTTCTTTTTTATTTGTTTTTGTTTATAGATATAATTCTGTAAGATGTCAAATATTCCTATAGAAATATCATCTACATGAAATAATCTTATACTTAGAGTGGTCGAACACGCTGAAATAATACTTTATATTCTCTCACTTCCATATGCAATGTTTTTTTTTGTTGTTTTTTTCACGTAAAATGTAAATATCCATTTTTATTTCTGTTGGCTCCTATTGACCTCAGATTTGTGTCAAAAAATGCATTCATTTTCTATGCATTTCAATAAGATACTACTTGAATGCCTCCTGGTGGTTCAGCAGTAAGTGTGAAGGCTTCTAACGCTAAAAGTCGAGTTTCGATACACACGGTGTGCAGAAAACAGATAGCCTATTATATAGCTTTGTGCTTAAACACAAACAAAACTAGTTGGATACTAACTATGATATTAATTTCTAGTCACTGATCTTACCAGAGAACCATACATACTGTTTTGATGCGGGAATAAAGGAAAACGTTGTTAGATGTTGACAGACATTGTATTAACATGGACAACATCAGAGAAATTCAAAATTAAGCGTATTCTACTAAGATCGAAAACAATTGACGAATTTTGTTATAAGAGAATGTTCACTGTGTTAATGTAAACCGCAAATAACTTATGTAGATTATTATATACACTATAACATAGGCAACAAGCTTTATTACAGGAACATGGACGAACCTTACTTGAAGATCATGAGCACTGCGCTAACAGGTAACAGTGCTTCACTTTGTTAGAAGATTACTGGCACTGTATCGATCCGAGATATCATGGACAAACTTTTTTGAAGATCATGGACACTGCGCTAACAGGCAACAATGCTTTGTTTTGTTAGAAGATCACCAATATTGCATCGACAAAAGTTATAATGGACAAACTTTGTTAGAAGATCTTAGATACTGTGCTGAGATGGAGAAAAATGGTCTTCTTTTATTAAAGGATTATGGATACTCTAATGACATGAAGAACAAAATAAAATCTTAGTTAAAAAAATCATGGTCATTATATAACGATATTGATAAGTATTAGAAGAAAACTTGGTTCAAGAATTGTGGCCACTTCACTAATATAACAATTATGGAAAAAATCATTGTTGGGTGATCATGGTCAATGTATTGACATATATAATAATTGATTTTTTTTCAAAGAATTATAGAAAATGTACAGACTTAAGCAACAATGGTCAAACTTTGTTCAAGTAAATTAATGAAAAGAGACATGGTAAAGTACCGATAGTAATAACAATGGGGCAACAACGGTCAAACTTTGTTAAAGTAAATTAATGAAAGGAATACATGGTAAAGTACTGATAGAAATAACAATGGTCAAACTTTGTTAAAGTAAATTAATGAATTACAGTCGTGCTTGTGAAGCCATAACCCGTGTAAAGTGTTTTCATATTAAACCATATATCACATTGGAAATCAGAACGTTCGGAACTTATATTTAAAAAAAAATGAAGACACTTATTGAACAAATCCTGTTTTGTCAAGACCATATTAAATTTTGATTCTTTCTTTTAAGGAAATTTAGTTACGTTTGTTAAATGTTAAACATCAGTTGATTGCTATATATGGACAGTTTTTGTCGAATGTTACTTATAACTACCCTTACTCGTCCTTATGGCATAAGAGCCTCAACTCTTATTCCTTATCATGATTTTGTATGAGTCCCGTCCATTGCTGTTGATTACAGTTACTTGGGATTATATTCTTTCTGTGCCCATTGTTATTTCTATCAGTACTTTACTATGTCTTCCTTTCATTAATTTACTTTAACAATGTGTGACCGTTGTTGCCCTATTGTTATTTCTATCAGTACTTTACTATGTCTTCCTTTCATTAATTTACTTTAACAATGTTTGACAGTTGTTGTCCCATTGTTATTACTATCGGTACTTTACCATGTCTCTTTTAACAGTTAACGAAAGTAGTGTTATTACTTGAAATTTTAACTGATAATTGCAATGTGTATTTGGTACTCACCGGCTTCATGTAATTTATCTTCACCAAAAGTTTTCACGATCTGTAAGTAAAGAACTCCGTAGGACAGCTGAAGCCCCGTGGAGAGGAAGTGTACGAAGAACGCACAGATGCAAATCACCCACCCCCACCCACCTTCGGGGTAATAGTGCTGGCGAATAGTTGACGTTTTCGGGTCGACAGTTGTAACTGTTGGTTTCCCGCGTTCACACACACCACCATCGTTGACTTTGGTGTTCCGAAATTTTCTCTGCGGTAAGGTCGCAGCTTTGGCTGCCGGCTGAGAAACAGATTTATGTTGAGCGGCCAATGTTACCGAGGGCGTCACGATTCTTTCAACGGCGAAGTTCACCTGTCGAGACGGCAAAGATTTGGTACGTCGCCGGCCTACAGGTTCAGTTACCGGATAGCTTTGCGGGGAGGAATCGATAACAGCCCCGTCACCGCTGGGCTGGACTGTCTCGTCCTGAGCAGGCAAGGTATAAATAGGAAATTTTAAACACTTTTCGGAATTAATTGATTCACTCTCATCCATGGCCTGTGATGCTCATTATATAACTTTAATTATTTAATTTCAGTCAATGTGAAGGCTTCGTGAGGAAATATGCACACAAATATTCAAAAAAATCTTAGGAAAGAAACCTTATTTACGTTATTTCTCAAAACGACTTATTGATAAAGTAACAAAATTTAGAAATTAAATCGTTTCTTTTTTTCATCACCCCAGCAACTGGACACCAAAGAGAATCACTACAAGAAGAGAATAGGTCATCTCACTTTGATTCAGACTGAAGAACTACTGTCCTGAGGGCCTGAAGGAATACGTGATAAACGTCTTTATGACGTCATCAGTACCCTCAAGAGAGCGACTAGGGTGATATTTTGACCTACAATATTAATAATACGACCGGATTTAAGCATAAGGTACAGATTAAATCGTCGGAGTCTTGCGACTGTTTGAAGCTTACAACGAAACGACTTGTTGAGATTTAGCAATAACTTGATTACAAGAGACCTTTGCACTCGTAGGAAGTAATCGGGACGAACTTCTGCTCTGCGGGCTAATGTCGAACTGAACTCAGTTTAACTTGGAGCACGCGCCCACCAGCGTACCCTACTCTCCCTCCTCTTTTCCCCTTTCTTCCCCTTTCTTTAATTTCCCTTTCACATAGGTCTATCTTCCTGTCCTTACTTTCCCTATTTCATGACAGAGAGCGCTTCCGGCGCTTGCACCAGGCTACTTCGATTGATCTTAGAAACAGAAATCTTGAATCTCTGCTACAATCGTTAATGGAATATCTTTAGACCAATGAAGGTATACATTGTAGCTTTTATGGGATATCATGACAATGCGCTACGGTCCCAACAGGAGTTTTAGCGGACTCAGAAATAAATATTCATACATACATTTGTTAACATCGTTTCTGGACAGCTTCTGTACTGCTAATATAGTATTATAAACATTCGAAAGTATCATTTACTGCTAGATATTGTGTTAACAATTAGATTTTCAAGTTATATACTTTTGGAGATCTATAGTAAAAAAAAAATTAATAAGTGTTTACAGATGCTACGACTATGACGTTTACGAACAAGTGCCGAGTCCAATATAAATAGCTTTTGTCTCTGTGTTAATCATAGTGATAATGTTCATTGAGACAATTATGAACCTGACTTGTAGCGACACAAAAAAGTTTAATAAAGTCCTTTCAATTCAAACACTTACAGGTGGAGAAGTGAACGCACGAATAAATGAAACTGCTAATTCATTAAAACAAGTCAAATCACGTATGCTAGGGACAAAAGTGTAAGTTTTCGACTGAGACTGAAAAACCTCAACAAAACCTAAAGCTTCTTGTGAAACATAGATATAGTTACAAAAATACGTTTGAGATATAACAAACAGTAAAAATTTTATTCTATTGTTATTATTTGTGGTTCATATTAGCCAAATTTTACATTAATATATCAACGATTTGAGAAATATTTTACAATTAGGATTATAATGACAACATTTGGTCAAAGTTTTGGGGTAATCCTCTTCACAGTTGATATATTTTGAGGTTTTGAGTCTGTAATCATATGTCTGGAGCAACAATGATTTTGGATATGCATACTATCAAAGTTTCTGGGGAATCCGTCACACAATACATTTATTTTGAGGGTTTAGAGCAAGAATGATGTATTGTGAATAATGATACTCATGGATAGGCACAGTCAAGGTTTCTGGGTAATCTGCCTCACAATTCATCTATCTTGAATGTTTAGGGCTGACTGGTGTATTTTGAACAAGAACAATTCTAGTTATGTATATAGCCAATGTTTCTAGATAACCTGCATACTGCATATATTTCAAGAAATTAGTGCTGTAATAAATTGTTTTGAAGAATAATTTTCTAGGTTTGTATTGCAATTATGTGTATTGATGAACAGTTTTTATGGATTTATGTTGTCAAGGCTTCTGTCCATTGTTTCAAATAATACAATATTGTTATGGATTTCCTGTTAAAGTTTGCAACGAAGCAATTTCGCTTATCATCATTACAACTTATCCCACGTTTTAGTTTTTTTTTCTATCTAAGCCTTACAGAATTACATATCAACTCATCCAGCAATACATGTATAGTGTAAAAAGTGTTTTAAAGGCAATATTTACAGAAAGAAAAGTAAAGAGATGTGTAAATGGCTCATTCACTCACGTCTGAAAATTAATAGTTGGCGTGGCTATATTCTTGTACTCTCATCGAAAAGTGCAATTAAAGCTATGAATGCTATAAAGCTATTGCGATATTCATCTTCTCTAGTCCGTGATCTTGGGATTGTTTCAGAAATAACTACCTTAGTTTGTTTGTTTGTTTATTTGTAGTTAAGCACAAAGTTACACAATGGGCTATCTGTGCTCTGCCCACCACGGGTATCGAAACCCGTATTCTAGCGTTGCAAGTCTGCAGACATACTGCTGTGCCACTGGGGGAGGGCACCTTAGTTTCAATACGTATACTTTGCGGATTGCGAATACTGTTAATCGCTCTTCGTAAGGACGATTTTTTGCCCTTGGAATTACTTCCTCTATCGTCGATCTTGCTCAGTGTGATGGCTGTGATTACGCGCTATTACTTGATATCGCAACGTCCATTATAACAAGCTTAAACGGAGGACGGTGAAATCAATCTTTTTACCAGACATCTTAACAAACTTTACACATACCCTCCTCTGTGCGAGCATGTCGGTTTCCAAGATTATGTCTAAGCAGTCAAAACGCAATAACACACCATTAGGGTTGTACTGAGGGATTTGGAAGATATGTAGCTGAATGGGATTGCTATCATCCCAGTTCCTTTGTACATATTTCTTATATTCTTTTTGAAATGTTGATATGAACTTATGAGCTTTTCGCTTATGAGCCATCATCAACTTCAAATCCTAGTTAATTATCTTGTTAATGGTAAACAAGGTACCCCTAACTTCATCGCAATTGATTTTTAGCCTGGAGGGTTCTATTAACCTTCACTTTGATGATAAGGTTGAATTCGATTAGATTATGGCATATTGTTGGGGCTAAGTGTTACGCTAAATCTCTCTCTCTCTCTTGTTCTCCGCTTTTCGTTTTCACGGGAAGTGCTGAAGCTTCCTTCTTTTCAAATGTTATGCCCTGTGGCGCTACATCGTTTAACATTCTTTCTCTATTCGAATAAAAATGGCTTCAAAATAATCTACTAGCTACAGTTTGCATTTGCATATTCAAATTGTCGTTATGAAATGCTTTTAACATTCAGAATATATATAATGAATGAGTCCAAAGAATTTATAATTCTTACATTTGTTAGGTTTAACTTATGAAAAGGTGCATGCTACTTATACCTAGAGGGCTATTATTTATAAGGTAATTACTTCACTCATTACATTTTTCATCAATTATTTTTAATTATTCGGCGTAGGTCGTTGGACTAACCATTTGAAGAGTACGTACTGTAGAAAGATTGGTACAAAAGCACAATTTTATCTATTATAATAACGTTGGCATTATTACTTTTCTTGTACAGAACAATCGGTACAATGTTACAACCAAAAAAGAGAGAGAATGATAAAATAATTTAATTGATTAAAAATGTGAAATTTATATGCAAAGTCTAGATTAGGGTCTATTACTGTAACTAGGGCGTTAACTATTTAATAGTTTTTTATTCATCTGTTAATTGTGTATACAAAAAGTGTTACTTTAGTTTGCTTCTTATATATGGCTAGGTGTGGGTGAATGATTAGTGTGGCCAGACTATGAATTCAAGAACTTATGGTCTCCGACCAGTTGCCACAAAAACGCTCTCCGCATATCAGGACCTCGGGTGTACTATAAAAGCGATGGTCAACTCCTACTATTCAATAAGACAAATGTAGTCCAAGAGTTGGCGGTAGATGTTGTTGATCAGCCACCTCTCCTTTTGTCTCTCAGTTAAAAGATAGGGATGGTTATGCACAGATAGCCGATGTGTAGCTAGCTAGCTATGCGAAATTCTGAAACAAACAAACAAATATCATAAAACCATGCAAAAGGTTAATATACGAGATCATTATATGGAACTATTTTTAATAGTCAACTTTAATTGGTGGCGAACTGTTATTTATTTACATATAAATTCAAAATAAAGCAAGGTTTCATCTAGAAGAGGCCATCAAATGAAGTGTCCTACACTGGAGCCACAAAACAGGTGCAATTATAAAATGTAGCATATTTTATCTGAAGCTTATAACAGTTAGAACCTTTATGTACTGATAAAAAATTACAACCATCGTGTGTATATCATAAATTATTAAATAAATGATGTCATGAATCAATTTCATTATAACATTCTCAAGTTTATCTTCTTGTCTTTGATTTATTTGTATAATAAGGCGGTATTCTTTGAAATTTTGTTCATTTATTAGCAATGCAAACGTGTAAACCCTGTTGAGCTAGTCATTATTTAGACCACAAACTCCGATTCAGCTACTATTAGATCTCAAAACTCATGTTTTGTTAGTTGATTTTCATACAGTTATTAAATAAAGCCTTAAACATTGTTTATGGCAAAGCGACAAAGTTTAATAACATGTAAATTATTTGCTCGATACATTATCAACTAGTCTAAAAAGATGTAAAAAGTTGAAACTAAGCTCATATCAAACTCTATTCTATTTGGCCAGGTCGGTGGAGAATTTTATTTGTTAGCAATCGTACGATATTACTCGTCTAACAGAAGGAAGAAATTAAACTAATTTCATATTAAGCTCTTCTTCATTGGTCAGGTCATTGGAAACATTCATTTGTTAATCCACAAACAAAATTCAAAGCAGAATACCAGATGGATAAAAAGTGAGAGGGATAAAGTAAAGCATTAATAGGTCTTAAGTAGTTTTCATTCCAATTGTTTATGTAGTCCTCTGTAAAACGAGTGCTCGTTGATTTCGGTTGTGTTCGCTTTTCTTATTTGCTTAGTAGTTTGTTTTTTCGTAAAAATATTCACCAAGAGTTTTAAACTAGAATCGTTATTTTTTCTC